CTTTGTGTCATTTCTCATCACCATACTTACTGACATTTACCTACCAGCAACTTAAGAATCTAAGATGGTTTTGGAAAGGTCCTACTTGGCAAAGATGTTCCTGCTGCTGCTCCTGCGTCCTGCACGTCTCTGCTTACCCCACACATCAAACTACTGATTTTTCTCATCCCCACCCTGACAATTGTCTCAAATGATGTTGGACTTTAAAGGAGAATCTTGTTCTTGGCATTTTGGGAAAGAGCTGTTCCTCCAACAGATTTTAGCTCAAGCCAATTTGCAACAGCTGCTGCTGTAACAACCAATGCAGCACCCTCCCCACCCCAGGGGTTCCCCCCGCGCTGCCATTTATTGCCAATATATTACATATATATATATATACATACACACACACACTCCTGCACTTCGGGGTGATTTTCCGCACCCAGGTTGTACCACTTTTCAAGACAGCACCTAACATAAATCTATGCAATCTGTATTTTATCTCACCCACAGTTCTCCTCCACTGAACCTGCGTAATGTGCTTTTGGGTTCTTAATGCTTATTCTTACTCCAGATCTCTACTGTTGTCTAATCCACATAGTCCTTTCCTTCCTAAGACTGGTTCAAATACACATCCTCAGTAATTTCTGCTTCGGTTTCCCATTTCACTCAATTTAAGTATTACGTTCTCACCAGATTATTTCTTAGCAGCTTTTGAAGCAGTTTCTAGGTAACACACTGAAAATAAAATGCAACAGCAATAATAATGAAACATCAACTTTACAAGACACCATTTTAGATTGTCTGCCATCAACTGACAATTTTACGGTTTAGTTTTTGAGGACAGAATTTTTTAAAAGAAACAGATGAAAAATCTTAATGGGTTCCTCATGCCCAACTCGTTCACAGCACCTCAGCATCGTGTTGGTACCTACCAGATGTACATCAGTACGATGGTTCGCCACCGAAGGACTGGATGTTTTACTAAGTTTAGGATACCAGGTGCCGATTCATCCTTTCTCATAATTCCTGCACTCGGTTTTAATTTTAGATTTAGTCTCTCTTTTCCATTACCAAGGGCAATATATTGCAACACATCTTCAGCTTCTGCTGTTTTCCCTTGGGAATATAGCCATCGTGGTGATTCTGGGAGCATACTAACAGGAAAGAACAGAACATCAATGATGACAAGTTCATTCCTATGAACGCAGCACTACAGTCAATCTTTCCATTTTGCAAACCAATACTTTTTTAAAGTATCGATACAAAATTCAGAGAAAAACATTGTTTGCACTGTTCTACATATTAAATTCCACATACTCTGATAATAATACAGTTAAGCTTACAGAGGGTTTGTTGGAGATGCTTGACAAAGCACTCAGTCACGTTAGAGGAGTTTAAATCACAGAATCACAGAATGGCAAGAGTTGGAAGGGACCTCGGGAGATCATCTAGTCCAACCCCCCTGCTAAAGCAGGTTCAAATCTCAATCTTGACTTCTGATGAGCTGAACTCTTAGGAAAGGCTACACTAGCACTATCAAAGCAGCATCTCAAATCCTAATTATCTGAACAGCCTGGACAAAATTTTGTGTTCACAACATTTATTTCAAGCTTCTCCATTATGGGAAGAGCTCTGAGTTGGATTGGAGAGAAGAGGCAAGAAGCCTTACTGGGGAATTACTTGTCAGGCTCCAGTACCTGCTCATCACTGCCTGCGTAAGTTCTAGATCTCTTATTCCCGAGTATAATCAGAATATCCTTGCTTACCACAACTTCAGTTCATGATTCCTGTTTTTTTTCAGGTTGTAGAGTGTGCTGCTGCTTTTATACGAGCCATAAAATAAAGAATGGAACACTTTTAACTGAATCTTTATTGTCTCTGGTACTGCTAACAGAGATACGCATCCTACAACAAAACTAAACTTCCATTACTTCAGAGGATCCCCCTATTTACTAAGTATTTAGTAAAGATTTGTATTTAGTATTTGGGGGAAGTAATTCTATTTCCATTAGAAAGAGAACACCATAGAGGAAAATACATTATGCAGAAATTCTTTCCTCAGCCCAGAGGCTTTGTTTCCCTTGACTACGGGAAGAGGGTTGGGGGGGGGGACGGGGGTGTTGGTGTATTCTTTAATGGAACTTCTTTCCAAAGCAGATCTATCTAAAAAAATAATTTAAATTTCAAAAATTGAAATAAAAATCAGAAGAAGGTTTTTTTCTATGCCATATGCTAGACATTCCTTGCATTAATGTATAGACAACTTACTACACTACTTCTTTTATTTCTTCCACAGCTGTAACTAGTGATCAGATGTATACAAGGTGCATTACTTGGTATGTTAAAACAATGTGTTGGAATAACACAGGCCAGACAAAGCTAGCGCTTGTAATTCCTTAAATACTGATGCATTTCATAATCACTTTTATGACAACGTCCATGTAGGAATTCTAAATAGGAGCACCCAAGCACAATAATGCTGGGCACAGGCACAAGGGACCTCAAAAGCAAGCAGATACATAGCGTATCACGCTAAAAAGGCAATTCCGAGTGCTCTCACTTACTTCCCTTTGCATGCATGTGTCTCGTGAAAAGAAACTCTAAAATCCCTCTAGGATCACTTCCAAAACTTCAAGCGCTGAAGCCCTTCCTTGGCAGAAGGCAGTGTTCCTGGCTGACGCTCCAGCTCGCAGCCTCTGGCAGGCATTCCCTTCCCCAAGCAGATTTGTAATCGAGTTTTATTGGACAGCTGGCACACAGCTGCTCTTTGCAACACTGGCCACCACCGCTGTAACAGCATGCAGAAACGCAAGCTCGTCTTCTGGGTAACCCTGACCTTCTGCTTCATTTAAAACCACTTCTTCCTTCACAATATGATTCTTCTCTTGCTTGGTTCACAAAACCATACAGAAATGTGTCATCCTTGTTTATACTACTCTCTTGAATGATGACAAGAGCAAGTAACTGTTAAATCGCTGCATATTTTTTTCCTTATCGTTATAATGCACGTGAACCACTTACAAAGAAAGAAGGAGGAAGAGGACTCCTGGAGTATTCGATACCAAGGCAAGGTAGCGCCATTCTCTCACGCAGTAACCCAGTAAAGCATAAACAGCAATGCCAACTGCAAAGGTCAAATTAGTCAACGAACCTGAAAACATAAGACCAAAATGGTGACTACAGAAACCATCAGCAAAAGAAAAAAACCAAAAAAAATCTTAAGCAGAAGCCTGAAATTTCTAGCCCATGATATACCTAAGTAAAATCGCCATTTTATGAGGTATTTTTACAGCACTTGTGAACCAGCTGGCTTAAGTATGTTATGCACTCCTAATGAAGAATAGCTTTGCATAATGTGGGGGGGGGGTTGGAGTTGGTTTTCACCTTTCAAAAATAAAGGGTGGTAGATAGGAGAGAGCAAGAAATTAACAGGAACCTACAGACTAAAGAGAAAACCAGAGGACAGGAAGGGGAAGCGTTGAGAAAGAGTTGATTTATTTAGGTCTGTTAGGGTAACCTTGAATAGAGGTGGCAGGCTGGAACAGAAATTGGAAGTTATAAAAGTACAAGGTCTGAGTTCAATACAAAACCAGCTGCAAGCCACAGGTTGATTACATCAGACTTCTGATGAACAAGCATAACTAAAAACGTCAAAAAGACAGGGTCAACTTGAACTCCAAAAGCCTAACAACAAACCCCTCTGCAGACTAACACGGGAGACCTTGTACTAACCTAAAAAATCCCAGCTATCGCCCACCAAGCCTGGCTCACAGCCAACACCTAGGAGAGCTTCTTGCACACTGCCGGGCTGCGTCCAGCAGCTCCCTCTCCTTCAGCCCCTAACCAGGCGTTCAGCGCCTCTTTCTCAACAGCTGAGCAGGACTAGAATAAAGCACCTAGAGCAAGAAGCGGCAGGAATCGGGCTGTCTCTTCGGTCCATCAGGAGGCCGACCCCTGCAGGGAGAAAGGCTGGGAAGAGCAGAGATAGACAACAGGGCAAGGGGGACGGAGGGGTGGGGGAGAGAGAGGGCGTGAGTCAAAAGAGCGAACCCAGAAGAAGAAAATTCAGTACTTAAAAAATTTAAGTGGAAAGCTATAACTAAACCACAACTGTCTCACACATCCCCAGGAGTCCAGAGTAGAAATAAGAAAAATAGCAGAATGAGGCAACTGAAGAAATGGGAGAGAGGGAAATATGTTCACAGCCACAGCAAGTCAGCATTTGGACCAAGTTTTTCTCCGTGTTGCGCTAGCCAAAAGGGCGTTGCAGTCTGAGCTACTCCAGCTTTACAGACTGACGTGCGAGTGCTGCATTTATTTTAACTCTTGGCAGCGACATACAAAAAAGGACATTTAAAAACACTGCATGGTCAACACATTCAGCAGGGAGAAAAAACACGCTATCCAGGCACCAAGTCATTCTGTGGCACAGGGAAACTTCAAAGAACACTTTCAAGAATACTTCCCAAGATACCATACAGCATCGTTCAGAAGTTGGCAGGATCTGCCAAAACATGGTTGGTTTTTTTTAACGTAACGCAGTGGACAAATTGGGGAAGTTTAGGAATCAGCAAACCAATTTTAAAACCTCAGTTTTGCTATTAATCAAACTCAATCCTATCTTCCTTAATCAGGCACCTCTCCCACAGAAATGAGAACTGGGATGAATCACATCACAATAATTTGCTTATTTATGCTACGAACTGACTTTACTTGGTACAAACGTAAGAATTTAAAATGTAAGGGACTGATAGTCAGAATAAGGATGTGGCACAGTAACAATGATTAAATATTCCCAAATCCCACCTGTAAATGACCAAAATGATTTTCCTACATATTCTTGGGTTAGGACAAAAGACACAAGAGCCATTCCACCATTCACAATTCCAACAAAAAACCGTGACACGGCAAATACGTCATAATTTGGAGCTAATGCTGTGACATACCCAAAAACGACATCAAAAAACAGACCTGCAGAGAAGAGAATAAAACATAATTAGTACTCAGGCCGTGCAGCTTGAACTCAGAAGGCAGGCAGGGAGCACAGTTAGTTACTGACTGCAATGAGCAGTCTATAATACTCTTGCCTCTAATCTCTCACATTTGGCTTTCTGAAGTCACACCATATGAAAATTACGATCATCTTCAAGCCACACGCTTGAGATCTGCAATGCCAAAGATGATGTTTCCTTGAGAGAATGCTGTTAAACAAAAAGACCCTTTGGCTGCAAACGCAGCTGGAAAGCACCAGACCAGGACGTGAGTTACCCACTCGAAAGATGTCTAGGTAAGTCATTCTCCCTCACCCTCTCCCTCCCCCAAAAGTGAATTATTTTTATTGGAGACAGCATGGTCAGGCAATGTGTGGAACACTGTGCTCGAATAGCGATAGCCATAGCAAACCCAGGTTATTTTTCGTCTCCCATTGAGATGAAGCAGAGTGACCATTATGCTGCCCAGCACACTCACACCAACGCATTTCAGTGCTGCTCTACTCCAAGTGAAGCTCTCACACGGATCATCGGCGCCCCAACACTGACGCAGCAGGGTGGCCCGAGGGCAGCACCCAGGCAGGGCAGCCCATAGGCAGAAAAGAAAGAGATATTGTTACCCACGTAGAACGCTTCAGAAAAACCTTCTGACAATCTTACCTGAGATATACACTGGTTTCCTGCCCAGTTTATCTGACAAAGGGCCAAATGTGATATTTCCAATAAGCAATCCAGCGAAAAACAGGGATGATGCAAGGCTCACTTTGTAGGCTTCTTGTTCAATTAGGTACCACTGGCAAAAAAAGAATCTCCTTATTGTTAAAAGTATTAACACTAAATCGCAGACTTCCTCAAAAATAATCAAAATCTATCAAAATTCTTCTCTTGCCATTTCCCACTTCTGCTCTACATCCAATTAAAGTTTTGTTCAAAGTTTGATAGGTAAGCCAACAGTACTCATTTTTTTCTTAACACTCTCTCACATTTCTTTCTCTCCCCCAAGAAATTTCATTATAATAGACTGTAAGCTTTCAAGTTGAGAGGTATAATTAGTTGCACCCCAATTCCCAAGCTTTGACAAAGCAACTTAAGTTATTAAAACAAGGGAAGTCTGAATTGTTAAGAACTTAGCCATCTCAGCATTGAAAAAGCTTAGCTATTTCAATGAACAGGTAATAAAAATTATTCATTAATGAGAATAAAGCACGTTCACTGTTGCAGTACACAGAGAGTTAACGCCGTGCAGCTACGCTTCCTGAGCCACGAGTAACCCCGCTGCCCTTCCTCCTCCTCGTACACACGTTGAATTGTTGAAGAGAAGCAGGAAGGGATTATGGAAATATATCCTTCTTTTATAAAATCTCTAAGACCTACTTACTGACTACTCATTGATAGCTTAGTATCTTATCGTGCACATGCATTTGTAATCGAACAGAAGTTGGAAACAAATGACGGGTTTCTTTATAAAACGTACTTTCTACCTCATCCAAAAGCTAAACTGAGGCGGCATAATCAAAAATTGTCAGAAGAAAAGAAAATTAACTGACAGTGGGTTGAAATCGGATACAACTTATACTATTCCCTGACGGGGCAAGGCATACAGGCAGCTCGTGCAGCCCCCCTGCTACAAACGGCGAGAACCAACGCTCGCAGGAACGCACTGTGGAGATGACAAATGTTCCTAACTTCGGGAGGTCAGCAAAGAATGGTAACCAGAAAATCCTAAGTGATTTTCCAGGAAAAAAAATTTAACTCATTTAGCACAAAGCTTTAGCCAAAGAAACATTTAAGAATTATTTGAGTATTTCAAATAATTCCCAGTGTATTTACTGGAAAATTTACTTCCAAAAAAGTGGATGAGTGTCATGTTGACTTTTTAAAGTGACATATGCAGTATATCCTTTGGGGAAAGGAAGAAGGATCCTAATCCCATTGGCTTTTTTTTTTTTAAGAAGTAGAAGGCTTGGGGGGAAAAAAAAAAAAAACCATAATGAAAAATTTAAGAATTATTTGAGTATTTCAAATAATTCCCAGTGTATTTACTGGAAAATTTACTTCCAAAAAAGTGGATGAGTGTCATGTTGACTTTTTAAAGTGACATATGCAGTATATCCTTTGGGGAAAGGAAGAAGGATCCTAATCCCATTGGCTTTTTTTTTTAAGAAGTAGAAGGCTTGGGGGGAAAAAAAAAAAAAAGCCTAATGGAAGAGGTCCATGACCAAAATGTACAGTATGTACAGTACAGCGTACCAGGACCTCAGCCCTGAAGTATCTGCCTTGAATTATTACAGATCCCCAAAGAATATGAGGAATTTACTGAAACTTTGAGTTACAGCAATCTCAAGAAACTCATGCTTTTATTCAATCTGAGCTGACATAGCGGCAGAGTACAGAGAAGACTGCTCCATCCACCCAGTAACCCACCAGTTACCTGTGCTCCACCCATCCAGCAGCCTGCACGACACAGGTTGCGGGAGCAGGGCAAGATCTAATGCATTCACAGGACACCTTCTTTAGTGCAATGCACCCAGTGTTCCAGCTCTTTGAGTTTTGGGGGACTTTTGGATACTCTAGGAAGGTAAAACCCCTGCACCGCAGCATTTGCAGCTGATTTCTGCTATATCCTGCTGGGTAGTAGATTCTACCCTATTATATTGGATAAAGATGTAGCCCCAAAACTTATGGTTTCTTAACTTTCTGAGGAGACTTCAACAATGAAATATTCCTGGGCACGAATCCTCAGGAAACTTCAAGTATAAAAATATCACAGCGTGTGCTCTCCAAAGCACAGAGCACTGCTGGCATAAGTCCTTCTCCGTGCTAGCACTCCGCAGCGTACAAATTTCAAACTCTCAGTTCTCATCTGCAGAATGTTTCAGGCCGATACAAGAGACAAAACAATGTTACGCTCCAGGATACGGTTGTAAAAATCAACTTCTCTAAGGTAAAGGACCATTTCTACACCAGATGCAAGACATTCCTGAACTCACCTTCCTAAGCATCATCACTTGTTAAATAAAGCAGGGGGCTGAGCTGATGCCAGACCAAGAAGCAATTCTAACAACTGTATTTTCCATGGACTAAGCCCGAGCTATTATTTACAAAATCTTAGTTATGCTAAAATTAATTACAACGATTAGCTCTTGAAGCAGAACTGAAGAGCTGCTCTGAAATTTTGTTGAGCTCCAGAGGACAACAGTGCCCCTGCCAAACCAGAACATTAGTTAAAATATTTACAGTTTAAGCTCCACCACCAAAATAAAAGAAATAAACTTTACAAAAGCAGCTTCCTCTCTCAGGATAGAACAAGAGAAAAGATTGCTCCTGCAAACTGTTCCCTGTGCTGCCTAGCGTGTCACTGGAAGATGCTCATATTTTAACAAGTCTGACATGATAATCTGTGGAGAATATAACTTTTAAAATAATGCATCCATCTACTTTATTTGCACAAAAGGAACTTGTCAACATTAACCGTAGCTTGCCAACAGAAACTTTGTCAGTTCTGTTATCACCAAAACAGACATCCTCTCAGCTCTTTAAATCCGCATGGCAGTTTGATTTAGTTACTAGACTGCTAGCGTACAGCGAAACATTGGCCAGCATCTAAAGATTCCACAAAAAGACAGTTAACAATGTAATTTAAGAAATCTTACAGTAAAGTCACTGAAATGAATGGGAACATAAATTCATTTTGATGAGTCTTGAGAATTACTACATGCTTTGGCAACAGGGACACTGACCTCCACATTTAAAACCACAGTATTAGTTAAAATTTGCTGATTTCTGATTATAAATTAAGCACTACCCCCTAACACGCATCCTGCTGAGAGTCTGAAGCTGAGGGGTGATCTTGGAAAACAGGCTAATCAAAAAAACCTGTTTCTGACAGAGGATATGATCCAATATTGCATCATTCTTTCTTACGTCTCGTCACTCCATTTTTCCAAGAGAAACATTACACAGTCCCATTTGGGATAAGGGGAAGGAAGCACAAATTTGGCACCGGCTACACCAAGTGCTAACCTGTCTCATACGAGTTTACTGACAACTGCTCCAAGAATTCAGTCAGCAGAACCCTGACAGTTCACGCTGCGGGCCAAGCCACCCACGCAGTCTTTTTTCTGGCACTGGCAGCGATGCTTAGGTCACTCGCACTTGCCTGAGCGATTACAGCCCAGGGACCAGCAAAAAGCAAACGCAGCCTTTGGCATGGAATTCACGAGGCATGAGGACGAAGGGTCAAGCTTCTGTCCCACTCAGCAGACTTCAATCTGTTCCATCTCCCGCTCTCACCACACATTAAAATACCCAGACGTGTGGTGCGTGAGTTTCATTTTCATGCTAGTTTTAATCTTTAAGATGTATCTTCTGTGAGGAACTAATGCAACTCGTGCTAAAGCTTACACACGCAGTAGATTGTGCAGACACGACAAACCGAACCTTTTCTTGCTAGAAAACAGACGTTAGGAGGAGCACATCCTAAATTCCAGAGTTATAAGCAGCTGTAGTTAAATGAGCATTCTTCATTAGTAATGACTTTCTAAAGCATCTGAAGGCAAGGAAAACTGAAGACAAAATGAAAAAAGTTTAACCTAAACTAATAAATATTAGATTTACACTACAAAAACTAAGCTAATAATCGTATACTTTCAGATTTTAAAATAACAATAAAATTAAAAGCCAGATGGGCGAGTTCCAATGATTTTTAACAGCATAAGCAAAACATTACACTAAGCCCTGCTCAGCTTTTACAAGCGCCACGTCCTGCACTAGTGGCATGAATCCCAAGAAGAGCAGAAAAGGTCAGGCGCGACGGAAGTACTTGCCTCGGTTACTATAGATGTGAAGTTGTCTGCAAAATGGATATGCTTGGCAAGCTCAGCTCTGCTCGCTGCAATCCCTTCTTGGTCTATGTGATACTCGGGCACAGCTCCCACGAGCACAATAAGCATTGACTGACAAGCCACGTATACCTTAAAATAAGACACAAGCATTTACCCTAAACATTAAACTAAAAATTAACGATTTCCCTTTACCCAGCATCACAAACGAAATGCAACCAGTCTCCTGTGTTTAAAACCCCAGGATGCAATCACTGGGGCAGCTGGGAGCAGTGGGTACCACCCCAGAGACACTGGTGCGCTCTCAGCGAAAGCTTCGTCTTGCCACCCTCCTTCCCATTGCAAAGTTGTTCCATTTGTTCTTGCTGGTTTGTAGCCAGGCACAGGAAAGGAAGATATTGAGAACTTCAGCATAGTTTCATAGCTGAGATCAAACCCTTAGACAAAGCTTTTTATTATTATTATTAAAAAAAAAAATTGCTTACTATGCACAAATACAACCCATAGTGACAAGTCAAAAAAAAAAAAAGAAATCTAAGGTTACATTTTTAACAGCCTGTGCTAGTTCTTTCCATTGCAAAGACTGAAACCTTAATCTGATCATTAGCAAAACTAGAATGTGCAGGAGTAAAAAATATTTTCATAAAGAAACCCTTATAAGAATATTTATTCATCAATATGGGCTTCAAGAAATTTTGAACGTCTTCTGGGTTTTGCATACAATTTATTTTATTTCTTATAGCTTAAAATAACATCATCCTTAAGCATACCCACGTATCGGTGCTTTCAGCACGTTACCATTGATGGAAAAATTTGGAATCTAGAATGGCTCCCTTCACTGGGCCACGAGTCTTTGGGTGGTGGATTTGGTTGGACGTTGTTTTACCGTGCCATTTTATCCTGTGCTTACCTTAAACGCTCTCGCAGAAACAAGTTATAAAGAGAAACCTGCAGCCAGCAGAGTCCCCCTCCCTCACACAGTGCTCTAATCCAAAATGCAGAACTGCACTAACCGGAGGAAGCCTGTTGTGAAGAAACTAAGGGAGCGAAACAGGAAAATGTTTGCATGCGGGGGTGTGGACACTATTTAAAGACAGCACCCTGCATACCACTTTTTACAAGAGATTTTAAAAAAAAAAAAAAAAAAAAAAAAGCCAAACCCCCCAGCCGCTGTGGTTAGACTCCATTTCCTTCCACTCGGCAGAAGCTTAAAAGGCACTCTTCAAAAAGAGCAAGAAGCGAGAAGTGCGTAGAAATACGGAAAACAGATGACAAGCTTTGAGGAGTTAAGCATCTACGACAGCACCGAGGCGAGACAGGGGCTCGAAAAGCCACTTGCAGAAGGAACAAACCCCACCAAATCCTTTTCGAAACGCCCG